ATCAGAATACATTTTATTACCATTTTATAAACAATCACGGTTGCAAATCAAGTACCACCACATTATTACAACAGTTTGGTGCAGAACATTTGGGCCTTGATAAATGATTATATTTGCATAATATGATCACAGACGTCTTAAACAAAGTTATCTGGAAGCCACAGTGAGTGTGAAAATGATAACTGTGGATTATTTCAGCATTCCTGGAAAATGACATTTTCCTTAAAAAATAAGATGCTCAAATTAGAATATTGCAAACAATTACACTGACAAATGCACGAGAGCTGAGACCTTCTGTCAGTATTGAAATTCACACAACCAAAAATATATAAATAAAACCAGAAAGGGTCCTGGAACTCCCCATCTGCCGCAAGATGAGTGTTTGCCAAGCAGAAGGGAACAACATTAACCAAGGTAAACTCATGCAGGGCCTGCTTCCTCTGATGGATGAGAGGTAACTTGAGCTCAAGGATCGGTCTCTGGAGTGAGTTACTCAAGGCCCATTACTTTTTACAAGGACAATAATCCATGCACATCATAATACTGCCACAATAATCGTTCCAAAAAAGAGATGCATCAGGCCAAAGGTTCGTTTCAAAGACCTGGAGAACTACAGTAAAATCTTTAAGGCAGCTGTGGAGTGTGTTGACATGAGGCACTTATAGTAATGCAACTGTGAATTAAAATTAATAAATTAATTGCTTATTTTTTCAAATACCATTACCTCATAGTCAACAATTAGGTTTAGACTCAAGCAGGGCCTTGCTATGTGTGGATTATCGTGTCCTGGCAGAGAAGAGACAGAAGCCTTGGGAACAGTAAGGGCTGCCAACAGACATGGTCTTTTGATGGTTCTGTCCTGGTATTTCCTTATCTGCTCACTCCAAACTTGGCAAGGTGACTGATGGATACTTTTCCTCTTAATGAAAGAAGCTGAATGGCTGATGCACTACAGGGGAGAAAGTCACTTGCTGAGATGAGTAGAAGGCATTAAAGAACATTTGGTTTCAGCACAAGCAGTGACATTGCAGAGAAGAAGCTCTGACGAGTGTCTAAATTAGTCTACGCTACAAATGGTAATGGGATAACCTCACACTGAACTCACCAGTTAGTCTTTGTGCCGCAGCCAAGTTAACCATTTCCTCTAGAGCAGTTACCTTGAAGTATTACATTGGTTCTTTTTCATTTCGATGGCAGGTTTTCTGCTCAGTATTCAGCGCAATTCACACGTTAATAAATGATAAGTGCCTTTAGTGATGTCAGTAATGCTATTTTCTACTGTAAATACGTTTCAGGCCATTAGTCAAGGACCTCTCAGGCATGGTAGAGAACAGAGCGTTGCGAATACAGAGCATAAAGTGTTCTCGAAGACAAACTTGAGCTTCCTCTCAAACGCAGAGAAACTCACTCTCTCTCACAAACACCCCTCTCTTGGCCAGTCTGAGCAGACAGGCGGCTTCAGTACATCATCTCTGCCGCTGTTAAATGCTTGCGGCACATGAGTCACATTCACAGTGGCCCGCAGCAGTTAAGCCTCCAGACAGAGCACTCAGCTCCATCTCCTGTAACTGAATCTGACCTCCATCATCTGATTACCCTGGCCCTCTGCCCAACGTCATCCCCACCACCCAGCCCAGACACAACTGTTAAAGTGTGTAAACTCACCAACTGCTTGCTGTCCTCATCGACACTCTCTCCTTTTTTTTCTTCTACAGCATCTCTATCTCTTTTAGTCTGGCTTTCTGGAACTTTCTTTTCTTTCTAGGTGGACTGTGTCTAATAAATATGACTGAGGGTCCCCACCTTCAACGCAACAGTCATATTCAGCCTCATATGCAGCCTGTTCACAGCAAAACAAAACCCCATCCATGCAAATGAACATTTCACCGGTTGTTTCAGCCCCAATTTGGAATTCTAATGGCCACCAGCACTTACAGTGTCACAGCAGGCAGCACTACAATTACTGCTTCATCTGCCAAAGACGACGCGCCTTTCTGCACTAGAGGAAAATAAATGGAAATGGGCTTTTTCATAACACTTGTGGACAAAAACAGCTCCTCACCATCAGCATTATGTCTCTTCCCTGTGCTCAAGCCTTGAGGCCTTCTCATGCCCACTAGTGAAAAGAGATATGGAATAACCAGAGACAAAACTTTCTGCCATTAATTAGGAACCTGCCTGGAAGGAGAGGCATCAGATATGCTGGTAAACACATGAACCAGAGGCTTTGTTGCTGATTCTTGGCTAATAGGCTGTGCATCTCGCTCGTTAAAAGACATGTTAGATCTCACCTACTGAGAGTTTTTAAGTGTCAGGCAATTGAAATTTTCTGTTTTCTTTTACTAATCAAAAGCACAGACAGGTGCGCTTACTGTAGGTAACTAGGTTGGCAGTTACGCAAGGCTTCCGAACCGAGGATTGGCAATTATTGTCAGCTGTAATGAAAGGTCAGTATGCTGCACACTCTACTTTCGTTAAGTGCCCTAAAGATATTTAGACTGCAATACAAATGTACATGTATAAGGAAGGCATTACATCGTTCTGAATAGAATTGAGACTTTTTAACACAATGGGCTTTAGGGGCTGCAGCCCAAGGTCCCCAGCCACCAGGGAGCCCCAAAAGAATAACTGCAAATGGAATAACTGAAAAAATATGCCTTCATAGATTCGTTAGATTATCTGCAGTTTTATTGAGAGTTTTACACTGTGTCTGAAATCACTTTTAAGGCTTTTATACTGTTCTACAATGTCAGTTCTTGTTTGTTTTACCTTTCTTTATACAATACTGCTAGCTTGCCTCTAACACCTTAAAAATCCAAAAGGAATATTAGCAGGACTTAGCATTATTGCAATTATTAAGTGTTTAACCATTAACTTACAAACAAACAACTGTGTGACAAAACTACAGGTTTAAAACATGATAATTTAATTTCATTTTTCGTGAACAGTTCCTGTTTGAATCTAGTTTATCACTGAAGCTGAGGAGCTTTTTTGAATTGTATGCATGAGGACACAACAGACAACTGTTTCGACAAGACAGGCCTAGTAAAAAAAAAGTGGTGTTCATTACTACTTTTCGAGGGGATGATAGCATAACTACAATGATGTACCACATTGAAAGCATCCACAAGCAATTAGAAAGACATCTGTTTTGTCCATGTTCTCTGACAGAAAATGTGATGCAAGTTTTCAAAAGTTCAAAGCTTTTTCAAAAAGCTTTCAAAAATCAAAGCTTTCTGATTTTTATCATCTCTATAATGTTTGTACTCAAATCATATTGTAAAACACCATGAAACACCATGGATGTTAAAGGCAATGTTAAATGTATATCCTCTGGTGCCATGATAGGGGTGTGGGAGTGGTCCCATGGCAGAGTACACTGCAGAATCCTTTAATATGCCCTTGTATATAACAGTAAATGAGGGCAGTTCAGAGTTACAGAGTTGCTGGTTTAAGTGAGGCAGGAAAGGTCTGAGAGAAATAAGTGCTGAGGGAGCTCTGACCTGATAGGAGTTCAGAGAGCGCAGTGATGGGGGCAGTCTGCTGGTGCAGGCGGTCAGGAGCTGCAGTACCTCTTCACACGTGCTCTGAGGAAGTGCCAGCGGGTGAACACTTATATCCTTCTCCCAGGCATCAACAGCCCTGCAGAAAGAGAGCGAGAGAGAGTAAGCAACTAGAGCGAGTGAGACACAGTGGACGAGAGACACATAAATTCCATTAATCTGACAGTTTGAAACATTACAGTTTTAATCATGTCACAGCAATTTGTCAGCAGGGAACGCTGAACAGAGAATGAGAACGTGACACAGGGAGAGAAGCAGAGAGATTGATGTTCTGCCACACGTTATAGCGATGATCTATTCAGGACATTTCAGTGACATTTAGCCATCTGTGTTGCAGTTCTGCAGGAAGCACAAAACTCTGCTCTTAAAGTGAACTCATTGGTGAGGCTCAGGGAAAACTACAAAGCCAGCAGAAAACACAATCACGTTTGTCATTCTGACAACACGGACACACAACTCAGGGGTAATAAGGTGAGCAGTTTGGACTATGAGCTCTGGTTATGGATACTGGTTTCCTCCTCTAATCATTTCTGCACTGACAACTATTTCAAACAGACAACAATACAGCATCACATCTCATGCTTAGAGATGCATGATAATATTGGAATCATATTGGTATCGACAGATATTTGCTTGAAGCTTTCTCAGGCTTGTTATAGAGCTGCACTTAAGATTATCTGACAGCAGAAAAGTGATAAGGGCTAGGGGTCGGCAACATGGAAAAAATAGTACATCACAAAATTTAAATACATTTTTACGATATACAATATGTATCATCATATTCTGACGCAGACACAATGCAACAGTAACGTCATTTAAAAACTGACATCACAAACTATCAATACAATGATTAGTAACAGATACAGTTAGAAACATTAGAAACAGTTCACATACTGTTAATATGTTTAGCTACACCGCTACTTGGATAAATTGATACGATAGTCCTCCATAGCCAATTCAAATCTACTTTCTTCTAGCCCAGAATAAGTTTGCTTTCAGACGCAGAGACCGCTGCAGAGCTTATAGCAGAACAACAACTAACTGACACTCTACACTCTGTACCAAATACTGTTTACAATTACTTTATAGCTGTAATGCATTCAAGAAAAAGCTCAGAAAAACAGAAAAAAGATTTACTTTTATCCATCAATTTACTTTTATTTCTGCACAATACAGTTGTTGATTATAAACAAATTCATTCAGAGTAGTTTAATGTAAAATGGTGAACCTACACATATCTGCCAAATCTCCTATTACCAGTGCTGTGAACAATTCTCTAAAATGGAGCCTTTCATATCAAACCACTGACTTTGTTTTACATCTAAATGATTAAATTATGCAGAAATTTTGAAAAAATCAGTGAAAATCCCTTTTAAGGCATAAGAGCAGCTTAACACTGTGAGCAGTAATGTGATACACTGGCAGGTCCTATTAATTTCCAGTCAGCTGCAGTGTGTATGGCACAATTAAGCAGTAAACAGAGCACGGACCCTCTTCGACCAGACTCATAATGTGGCCAGCTCAGAAAAGCAGACCTTGCAAATTAGACTGATTCTGTCTGTGAGGGAGAGCAGCTGTCAGAACAGTTCTCTCTGCAAAGCACAAGAACAAAATCTCTCAGAATTGACACAAGCTGGAGTCGTAATGACCTGCTTGTGTCAGATAGACAAAGGGGTGCCGCGTGCACACCCACCAGTCCTCTTTGGATCACTTAAGCATCGTTGGGTCACAGGAATCACTTGTGGTGCCGCTCCTGAGAGGATGAGCGAGTATTTCTGGGTAGGAGCTGTAGGTGTAAGTAGAAGCGTAGGAGTCTGCGTGTGATCTTGAAAAACCTGGGTCCATGTACGATACGCGCTGCATGATAAAGCAAATTATTATAATATTTCAGCCCAGACAGAGGCTAGAAACAGTGCATCTCTATGCGCCAATGATGTGGTTAACTTAAAATAGAACTATAGAACTATTACTACTGATTATATTAGTAATAGAGTTATCGACTCATTATTTTGATGATTAATCAAGCAATCTGAGTTTTAAAAAACAACATCGAAAAATAAAAGTGAACAGTAACAAATCATTCATAGCTTTTTGAAGTTTCCAAAATGCTTTACTGTAAAAAGATAAACTAGGAAGTCTTAAGAAAAAAAAAAACTTCTTTAAATGGCCCATTCCCAGATGACTACTTACAGCACTTTTGTAGCTTTACGTACTAATAACAGCCATAATTTAGTTTTACATGAGTGTTTTACATTTTTTTTTTTAGAAAATCTTATAAAACATTTTGTTACTACACCTTTAAGACTGATAGATGCAAATGATTTAATTGGCTGACTTGTACTGTGCCTCATTTAAAAAGGAGTCTAGATTGAAACACTCCTAACTTCAAAGTGAATGGGTGGGGCTAAACCGCTGGTGGCTGAAAAGGCTTATAGATAAATTCTATAAATAAAACCTTCACCAAAACAATCCATTTTAACTGAGCTGCTTTTGCATCTTATAATTTTCATATATGGACTGTTTGGGCTGAAGAGTGAACGGCATGTTTAGACACGTGTTGGCATACTAGATATAACTTTAAATTAAAAATTAAAAAAATGAGAAACATTAGGTTTTCTATTATCATTAATTAGCATTAATTAATCAGGCAATTAGCATTATCAGAAACTAGCAATTCATCAGTGCTGATTTATCAAAAAGGTCCATTTAATGTATTATTTTAAATTTATTGAATAATCAAGTTTAAATCAAGCTACCATGACGAACCTAAACAGCAATAAATGAACACATACTATTAGAAATGTGGACAAGTGAACATCCATCACTATTAAGAGCGCAAACCAAACATTAACTACACATTCATGGAATCTAATAAAAAGTGAAAGTCATTAAAGAAGGGGAGGCAGGTGGTTTGGGGAAACATAGATTAGATGAGGTGTTAAGAGATTGTAATTAAAGAGCTGGGTGAGCACTAGAGTGGAAGATGTGAATTTATAGCTTACTCCTGGTACTTGCTGTGAGTGCAGGGGAGGTAAAGGACTTTGCTTGCACAAACTGCCTGGCATGATTGATGCTCATCAAGATGGCGGTCACTGCTGGAGATGAGACTGTCACTGCTCCTGGCTTTCTCAGAGAATGAAGCAATCAGAGTATCCGTGTTCAGAAGCCAGATCTGGTGATTAAAAAAAAAAATTAAGCTAGCTGACATTTACCTGAAGGAATATTGTAATAGTAATTTGTCACTGAATGTAGGTGAGCAAGGGGCAGAAGAAGAAAGAAAGAAAAAATGAAAGAAAGAAAGAAAGAAAGAAAGAAAGAAAGAGAAGAAAAAAAAAAAGCATACAGTAACTCTGAGATGAAATTTAGAATGGCCTTACCATGATCATAGCTTTGCCACCTGGGGTCTGGATGGAAAAGCGGAATATGCTTTGAGCGGATGACAGCTCGAAGAGTCTTGAAGCAAGGGCTCTCTCTAAAAACTCCTGTCTGGTTCAGAAAATGGCAAGAATTAATTACCTACTAAAAGTTATCAGGTTAAATAATCAAATTAATGAACAATTTAAGCCCTTAAAAGACAAAAGGTCTGTACAGTAAGCTAGCATGTCAGACAATAGGCACATTTTGCTATGAATAAATTTCACAGTACATACCTGGGTTGTGCAATCATGCTCTGTCCATCACTCTGTGTTACCACCACTTGAGTAATATAGAATTTTACCACCTCTGAAACAGATGTATAAAGGAATATTTGATGGCAAACAGGATGCCAACAGGATTCAAACTTAAACCATGAATCTAGGCATTCCACTGTATGAAAGCAACATAGGGGAGAAGGTCTTGCGAAAGCAAAGGCAGTGTTATGAAATGAGAATCATGCATGGGCTTGATCAAAATGTGGTCTAAAAATAGTGAATGACTCCATGCTTAATACATAGTTTTTTTTTATAGTCATTTTGGTTCATTTTAAACAGGGATCCATATTTGGAGTCAGGCAGACATCTATTTACTGTTTATCATAGTAAATCTCCTGTAAAACTCAGTCATAAAACTTGTTTTTGGATTAATCATTGGATGAGCAACCACACAATTCTCACTTCACACTTCAGTTCACACTTGTTCTAACACCATTCAAATAACATCTGTTTACAGTTATTGTGCCCTTGATCTTGATGATGTGGAAAAACAGAGATCATGAGTAAACAGCCATCAAACAAAGCTACTGAAAGAAAAAAAACATAGAACAACACTGGCATCAGAAGTGTTACGCTACACATCATACAGGGAATGTAGTTTGCTTGTGAGTGCAGAGCATAAAATAAAGACAAATTCCTGAAAAACACATAATGTAGACTTTGTGCATTAATTAAACATGATATAATTAATAAGCTAAACATCCAATTCTAACTGAACTAATAAACAGCTATTGCACCCTGGAATATGTATTTTAAAACTTACTAACTTATTAGTCTGAACTGTGTGCAAAGTAACTGATCTGACTGCATTTCCTTAAGAGTAGATGCCGCTTTTGAACGGAAATTCTAAAAAACAAACTTTTTATGAAAATAATTCAGTGAATTCCAGTTCTCTAGTTCTATTACACTTTACAATTGTTATGCATACAGAACTAGACCCATGTCCTGTGAATGTAAAAGATGACTGATGGATGAGTGTGCACGGAGAGTTAAAAATGCCTAATACAGACAGAACTATGGTAGCCCGCTGAGTCATATCACAACAACATTTACGAAGCAAACAAAAGCTGAGAACACAACAGCATTAACGGTGAACGCAAACACAAAAATGAGAATGCAAATGCAAAAGAAAGAACACAAATATATTACCAGAAAACAAGCCTTTTAAAAATGCTGTATTCGAGGGTTCGCTCAGACTTGAAATGCTCCTGGCATTATATATATAATATATATATATATATATATATATATATATAATTATATATATATGTTGTTTTTTTTTGCTAGTAAATTTGTCTCATAATGTTTCAGTGCTGTGAGTTTTTATGTTTTTTTACAAATGCAGTGTTTTTAAATGCATTTCTGGTAATATATTTGCATTCACTCTTTTCTTTTTGTGCTCATATTCTCCCTTATTGCTTTTGTTTGCTGTTCTGTTTTGATATGACTAAGAGGGCCACCATACAGAACAGTACTAATATGTGACTCAGTGTGTGAGCAGTTTTCATTCCAGCTTTATTTATTATGTATACATACAATAAAATAAATAAATAAATACATAAATATGACTTAGGGCCATTAAACAAAGCCTACAGTGGCTATGTAACGACAGCACTCTTATTATTGGTATTCGTGTTCTGTAAATTTTACCTGTCGTGACTGCCTCTCCCAACACTGCAGAGCACTTCTTACAGAAGACCCCCACATTCCTGTGGCCAGGTGGCTGCAGACACAAACCAAAATAGACAGACGATCTGAAGGCACAGTCAGGTTTAAACCACATAAAACAGAAATCAATAAGCAGAGAGGAACCATTTACTGAAGCGAGGGATGAATCAGGCGTTTGAACAGCGGCGGGCTCCTCCATCTCACTGCTGCGGCTACTGAGAAAGCCACAGCCAGCCCACAGAGTAAGGGAGGGAAAGAAAAATCAATCGTCCTGACGAACAAGTTACACTTCTCAGGCTGGTGGAGGCTTTTATAAAGGTAGATTACCATGCCGCCTCCTTGAGCACCGTTCATAAAGAAGAAAGAGCTCTTTGTTCCCACCTCTGTCAGCCTAAAGGCAGTATGGAGCACAGCATTCCTCTAAACAAGAATGAAAACTCAGCAAGCAAAAGTGCTTGAAAGTCCTCTGAAAGATTCCCTTTGACAAGAGGCCACACACCTAGCTCTATACTGTGAGCGCTGACCAACATTTGGAGCAGATGAATTAGTTTTAGGTAGAGCTGTCAGCTATTCAAAGCACAATATATGGGCAGCAGATGTATTGTTTGCAGATAAATGGGAAAGTATAATTATTTGCTGCTGTTATTATCGTTATTGTTGTTGTTACTATTAGACGCTGGAATTACAGTCAATAACTCGGCCCTTTTGTAGCTCTCAACTGGTGCTGCAGAGCAAAACTGAAGTTTTTCACAGTTTCAGCAGAGGACAACAGAATAGCAACAAATATTCAGTCAGGGCACATGATGGGAAAGCACTAAAGACTATTAATATCAATTATCTAATTAGCCATTTAAAGCTTGTTTCAGTTTACAGCACTGTGCAAAAGGCAGAGAACACCCTTCATTTATTTAATTTCCTGTCAAAAATGTCAACAATGATAATAATATTAATTAAAAAACAAAAAACAAAAAAAAAAAAAACAATAATCTTTATTAGTATATCTGGGCAGTAATAGAACAGTAATTAACAGTAATAAAAATGCTTTAACATATTAGAAGAAGTAATGAGTATTCAATTGAAATTATGTAAAACAGACAGATTAAATTGAAAAGATAAATAGCAAAAGAGAGGTAGAATTTCTATTAAATGCTAAATTAAATATATACATTTTCAAATGTTTCTTAAAAGTGTGCACTGAGCTTGACTGTCTAATAAAAGACGGAAATGAGTTCGCACAGTTAAGAAGCATAGTAACTAAAAAAGGCCTCTCCACATTTTCTCTATTTACAGAAGGCATTTGTAGAAGGCCAGTATCTGCAGATCTAAGATCACATGCTGGAACATAAACAGAAAGACATTCTGTGAAGTTAGCAGGTGCTTTAAGGTCATTTAGAGCCTAAAAAACAAGTAGCAGAACTTTAAACATACAGGCAGCCCTGCTCTTTCAAAGTTTTGTTCTTGTTTGGGTTCATGCTGCTGCATTTTGTAAGTTGTAGAGGATATATGGATTTCTTAAGAAGCTCAGTAAGAAGAGCACTGCAGTAATCAACTGTACTTGTAACAACTGTGTGAAATAGATGCATCAGTTATCACTGGTAAATCTAAATAATCTTGTGACTTTAGTGACTGTGATTACATACAGGATAAAACACAGCTCAGAGCTAATATTACACTCAGGTTTTGCACTTTAGGCTTTGTTATATGAAGTAAAAGAGACAACACAAAACAACTTTTTCTGAATTTTAGTACCAAGGATCAGTGTTTCTGTTTTTTCTTGATTTAGTTGTAGTAAACTTGATGACATCCACTGAGCAATATCTGACACACAGCTGGTAAGCCTGTCAGCGTTTTGATTAGATATAAAATAATGCACTTGGATAAAGAAGGGAAAGTTGAAGAAAAGTAAGTGAAAAAAAGTAGTTTTCAAAACTCGAGTAAATAAAATGATTAAAAGATACTGTAAATGGGACTCCTAACAACCATGCCCAGACCTGTTAAACTACCAAAACTGTCACCAACAGATAAACAGTACTTAAAGTTTTCATCTTTGAAAAAGAGGAGAAAATCAAGCTCCACTCTTGCTTTAGATCCACAGCTGTGTCTGTTCATGCTTCCACTGTGAGAACACAACTCAACACTATGAGTCTGAAAGGATATGTAGCTGTCAAGAAGATGTTACTGAAAAAATTAAACAGATAAAAAAAGAAAATTTGCAAATCAAACAAAGAAGCTGCTGATGGGCTCAATGGACTGACAACCCCAGAATCCAGACTTTAACATCACTGAATGTGTTTGTGATTACCTTGTCGTGAGAAGCAGAAAATCCAACCAAGTTCTAAGAACTTTGTAGGTGTGGAAAACATTCCTGCACATTTATTTAAAAACTTAAAGCAAGTCTCCTGAAAAGAATGGAAGTTGTAATAAAGGTAAAGGATGGACATGCTAAATACTGAGAAAACTGACATTAGACTTCTGTGTAATTGTCCATTAAATATACGTTTTTTGATTTTTTCCTTGATGCTAAAAAATTAACAATTGTATTATTAATAACTATTGTACTTAACAGCTGTTTTGCCTGGAAATTAAATAAATGAAAAATGATCCCTGACTTCTTTACAGTACTAGATGCATTTCTGGAGGTTTAACCTGTCAGCCTGTCAGTGCTAACTTATTTCAAAATGCAAAAAAGTAATAGCAGATATGGATACCAGAATGCAACAAATGAACGGCTATTTGTCTCAGTAACATGCAAAATTGTAAAATCAGTTCTCAGTTATTGGCTATTGGCAACAATATCAGCCACATCAAATTTTATTTTTGTGCTTTCTTACATAAAAATGTTCACAGATGTCAATCTCAACAATGTAACATACCTTCCCCGAATGCTGATTAGAGCCAGGGTTTACATTGGATAGGTCCACTTCCTGTGCAAGACTTTGGTCGCAACTGCTATCCTGGGTCAACAGGAAATAAGTGTCTCCAAGTAAGCAGTCCTCTTCCTGAGGGAGAAGCTTCTTGTTTGCAAAGGGATCGGGATGGCAGCACCAATCATCCACTAAAGCATTCCAGTTCCCGTTAGGTAGGGGGAGAACTCGTCTGAAAACTCTGTTCAAGAAGGAAACTGTCATACTTTACTTGTTTAATAAAGCTGTGGTCTTTAAAGCTGTGTTACATGGCTGAATGCCTCTGTCTTAACTTCATTCATCTCTTCACCTCACCTGTCTTTAAGCAGCATTGCCCCGCAGGACTGGCACAGAAAACAATACTTCTCCTGTGCTCTCAAGCGCTCAATCACACTGTCTGAAGCCTCTGGCAACAGTAAACAACAAAATAACCAACATAACCTACTTCACAAGAGGACACACTGGAAAGGTCTACAATTGCCAAATGATGAAATAGATATTTGACCTTTTTTAATAAGATATCCCATCTTTAAAACAAAATTATTTTATATGACTTTCGGAAAACACTAGGTTCATGCCAGTAGGGGCATGCAGAAGAACATCATCATATATACACACACATACAGTAAGAACCCAGTTACCCATGTATAAGAAATGAACAAAATGACCTATCTGTGCCAATGAGAACCAGCCTTTGATAACACCAAAGTTGAAGAAAGTTGTCAAGACATCTAGTTTTGAGGTCATGTGGCCACACATCTTGCCCAGCAGGGCTCAGAGTACTGCAGTGGCTCAAAGCCAAGGGTCATGCGACCGGTGCATTCCGTGTTCATCATTAGTCTCAGTTAATCTCTGAAGTGTGATAATGTGTGGAGCCTGAGGGCAGGTCCGCATTCATTACTTAAACTCCTCAAGCAAATCAAATGAGATTCAACCACCCCTTGCACAGTGTCATGCTTAATGACCTTCGGACATCAGCCCATAAGGGCTTCTGTGTTTGTCTTTATGTACAGCCAAGTGTAGTGTACACAATTAGTTTACATTCAGAATTATCTTCAGCGGGTACCTGAATACTGGTCCACCTTCAACCGCAATCTGATATGCAACTCATCATCATTCACTTCAGCACTCTTCTGACATGACCCTTCCACTAGACTGACCCCTGGTGTCAGCTTCACTTGATACTCCCCATCAGGTGCTCGAATTTTAAGGGCTGAGTCTCCACTAGACACATTTATCTCAGCTCTGTCTTCAACAGCATCACTCCTAAAAGAAAAAAAGCCATAGTTAGCAAAGGTAAACAGTACTGCCCTATTCATGCTGACCTACAAGGACTACTGAGAATTTCAAAGGGCACATATCCTTCATTTTACTTGTATTTTATTTCCTGGGGATCTACTAATGAATGAACTTAATTTCCATATAAGGACTGTATGGATAAGGGAGTGAGAGGTAAGCTTTGTGACTTAAACAATATTTGCATATTACATCAAACTCTGATTTCAGAAGAGCGAGGAGAGTTCTGTTTTCCATGAAACACAACAGCAAGTTAAGCAAGTAGAAAAAATCACATCATAATTGTCAGAAACCCACTGAAATCCATTTGAAGGGCTCTGGTGACAAAATATCTGGAACACCGTGCAAAAAAAAGTAGAAAGGCCATCGTTCTCTACACCCACTATTAGAACGGTTTCATCCTGAGGCGAAAAGAGAAAGTAGAGGCCATCCATCAGCAATGTCCAATTCTACCTGTCCTCAGCCCACCTCTCACAGGCCTTCTGCTGCTCACACAGAAGGCTTAATGAGTGCATGGACTCTGTAGATTCAGTACCGCTTCAGTACCAGTACCAGCAACAAGCTCTGTGATGTAAAATAACTGAAATATGTTGTCTTTATAATTTTAGTCCCAATGTGCATTTTTCCTTAAACCATCTGCCAGCTGATGAGTATCAGATAAACACTATTAAAAGCATCCACAAAAAAACTGTATCAAGCCTAATAAGCACCTCCACCTAGTGGTGGAAGGTAATGCTACTTAAATAGGGAGCTTCACAAGATGGACATTTAGTAGTAAAAACTGCTGGTCTTTATTTTTTGAATATCACAGTTACTGCAATATATTGACCTACAGTCATGCTTATCATACTTAGGCAGATATGCAAAACCGAACTTTGACGCTTTGCCTTTCCTTTCTTAATGCCTTGATCTGCACAGGGGAAATAACTGCTGAATGAATGTGCTGATCTAGGATCAGATTCCTTTCTTATTTAGGATGACCTTGCTGACAGAAGCAGGTTACAGATCAGCACTCATACTCAGAGAAATGTAATGAATACAAGCCCAGATCAGCATATCAGCAAGCCAGAACTGAAGTGGGGGTATTGGGCTGCGTTCAGACAACAGGCAAACCGGATTTATTTCTTAAATCAGATCCTCTGAGACGACTGTCCGCACTGTTATTTGCAAGTGATCAGATCGGATTTGTGTGTCCAGACATCACCAATCTATCTGCATGGGTTTCTGCGGTAACGACATAGGCGTCAGTAACTACGTAGCTACGCTGGTGACGCGGATTTCAAACGCGTATGTTTAAGAGATGGAGGTGCGTCATCAACGTGCAGCATCAAAATCATTTGGCATAAGCGTGAATATTTGGTGCTCTTCTTTAATCCCAAATCTTCCGTCACTCTGGATTTGACGTCGTCGTCGTTTGCAAAAGACACTTTGAAACCCGATTTGAGCGACCGGAGAGTCCAGACTGAGACGCATCTGTAAAAATCCGACTGGAATCGCATTTCAAACCACCTCCAAATGTGGTTTGGATCCGATTTGAAAAAACTGGATTTGTTTTTTTGCGTGTGTTCAGTGGACCCAACATTACAGACTGACGTTATCCCTGAATGATGAAAAGAACGTGATGTAGAGTGTCTGAAAAAGTTTTTTTTAATAAATACCGAAAATTCTTAGTTTTGCCTGCTATGGTTATCACAGTCACCAGGAGGACCAGATGTGCCAAATAGAAAAATAAATAAAATTAAAAAATAAATGACTCAGTAAATGAATCAATAAAAAAAAAAAAACTAACGTATATATTGCTTATTGTGATTGTAATTATACACATATTTCCTTTTTCTGCAGTTATATATTTGTTTGTGTATTATTTTGTTTTATTAATGCCATTTATATATATTTTTCGTATCTATATTTTTAACAATTGTTCGTTTTATTCATTGATTCGTGTATTCATTTATTTTTTTTCTTCATTAATTCATTTATTTATTTCTGTGTTTCTTCGTTCATATGATAAGGAGGGGGCGTGTTTTTCACGTTCAGGCTTAGCAAACAAGACCAGGAGGAGAAGAGCTGATTAAACTGTTCTTTCACTCCATAAAGAGCTGCAATGCCTCAGACAGACAAACCTGCCGATGAATAACTCTCGATGGCTTCCACAGGCCGTATGTGAGAAGGGCGTCCAAATGTCCGAGTGATCTGATTTTTGCAGAAAAAGACGCTGAACCACCTCCTCCTTCTGAACACTACTGGTCGACCTCTGTATCAGCAGAGGCAGCAAAATAGAGCAAACTGTCCCCACAGTCTCCCCTCGGAAGACTAAACAATCCGGACCTGCATTTTCAGCCAGATCAGCCGAGACTCTCTGATCTCTGACTGTCTGCAGCTGTAAGAAAACATTATTGTACTGTCTTGACCTTAGTTACCGCTGAGAGAGCAAGACATGTACAATCGATCCACAGAATCTGATATCGATCAACCAATAGGAATATTAAGACGCTGTGACATCATTGACTGACAGCCCCTTTATTAGCATAAGGACAAGGACATCCAGAAATAGAGAAATAAATAAATATAGAAAATATTAGTTATGTTATAGTTATATAAATAAATGAATAGAAAAACAGAAAAATGTTAATAAAGAAACATAAATAACAAAAAAAAAACAAATACAAAAATTAGTAAGAAGGGGAAATTACTAAATAGACATCAATAAATGCAGACATACTATATATTATATATATATAGTATATATAGTATATATATATATTATATATTTTAGATTTTATTTATTAATATATTAATTGTTATGTATATTTATTTACTTTTAGATTTATTATCATTATTCTTTGCAATTCTACTTCATATATTAATTCACTAAGTCATTTAAATTTAATTTTATTTATTTTTCATTTTGGCAAATCTCGTCCTCCATAAATGCCAGGTAAATTTCAGAGAGCTCTTAAATCAGATGAGAATGTCTAAAATAAAATGCATATTAGCCAGCTTAAGTGATGGTGTGCAGTCCTTTTTTCTGAGTGTCTTTTGTACAAAAATATAAGATAACATATATATCCTTTGTTTGTTATGAATACATTTCTATAGATTTTATAGGGTGGATGAGGACAATGAGTGAATTGAAATGATTCACAATCAGTCACAATTATCTGTAATTATCTGGGGCAGCAAGTCGAGTACATACCGACAGACACGACTGCTTAAAGCAGCCTGTTCTTCGTATACAATAAACTCCCACAACAGCGTCAATCCAAGAAAACAGCCGCTGCAGATTCAAGAGCCGTCATTATACACGGAGATGAGAAAACGAGCGACCGCGATTTCACAGATAAAGCGCGAACAGCGCAGTGGAACTTATGACGTGATGGTTATGTAGAGAATCCCAAGCGAGTGACGTTACTATACAGGTGCACTTTGTAGTTCTACAATTACAGACTGTAGTCCATCTGTTTCTCGGCGTCCTTTGTTAGCCCCCTTTTAACCAGTTCTTCAGTGGTCAGGACCCCCATAGACCCTCACAGAGTAGGTACTATTTGGGTGGTGGATCATTCTCTGCACTGAAGTAACACTGATGTGGTGGTGGTGTGTTAGTGTGTGTTGTGCTGGTCTGAGTGGATCAGACACAGCAGTGCTGCTGGAGTTTTTAAACACCTCAGTGTCACTGCTGGACTGAGAATAGTCCACCAACCAAAAATATCCAGCCAACAGCGTCCTGTGGGCAGCGTCCTGTGACCACCGATGAAGGACTACAGGATGACCAACACAAACTGTGCAGCAGCAGATGAGCTATCGTCTCTGACTTTACATCTACAAGGTGGACTGACAGGGTAGGAGTGTCTAATAGAGTGGACAGTGAGTGGACACAAAGGTGTTTAAAAACTCCAACAGCACTGCTGTGTCTGATCCACTCGTACCAGCACAACATACACTAACACACCACCACCACATCAGTGTTACTGCAGTGCTGAGAATGATCCACCACCCAAATGGTACCTACTCTGTGAGGGTCTATGGGGGTCCTGACCACTGAAGAACAGGGTAAAAGGAGGTCAACAAAGTATGCAGAGAAACAGATGGACTACAGTCTGCAGTTGTAGAACTACAAAGTGCACCTATATAGTAAGTGGAGCTGATAAAATGGACAGTGAGCGTAGAAACAGGGAGGTGGTCGTAATTTTACGCCTGATCAGTCTATATTCTTGTTTATTGTGGCGTCAAAGCACACTTTGGTTCCCATGATGCTTTGCTCATGCTTAGCTGGGCTGTTTGGCTGGGTACTGTGTTCGGAAGTGTGAGTTACCGTCATCCAGGTTATGGTTCTGATTCACTTTTTATTATTATTATTATTATTATTATTTGTTTGTTTGTTTGTTGTTGTTTTCCGGTCTCAACTCCACGGAGGTTTTACTTTATAAGACGTGTTTAAGCAGCACTTGAATGGCGTGAAAAAAATAGACTAACGCCTCTAAATCCACATAACAAACTAATGAAGGATTCATTACTATGTACAGACATAAATGTGTGTCCAGGTACGAACTGAACGAGCGGTCATTTAGCAGAGAATACATAAACACTCCTGATGCCGTAAGCGTGACGTCAGCTCGCGTGCGAACCCCACGTTTGAAACTTCAGAACAGACCGGAGTGACTGACTGATCTGTTTAGCCTAAACGTTTCAAATGATTCGGAATGAATAAACATCAGCGGCTACAAACGACTCCTCCACTCACTGGCAGCCAGATAGGAAGCAAACCAATATGATCAGTGTAAATGAGCTCAGTACTTGCCGTATAACGAGGAGGCCACTTTGCAGCCGTTGTCTCAGCTCCAGAAAGATGAAGTGTTGTTTCTCCATCACCTCCATTTCTTTCCGTAGTTCAGAATGCACGTTTCAAACGGCGGGCATGGAAGTGTTTTCCATTTCTTTCTGTAGCTGCCGCCTCACAGGTTCATGTAGTGAAGCATTACTGCCATCTATGGGCCTGGTGCGTTAAAACTAAACGTCTGATCTGAACGGATAGCAGGTTGTGAACGTGTTAAGTGTTCAGGCTGAACTCTTATAAGACTACAAAACTCAGCAAATTGTAGGACTGAAGGATTAATCGTTTTTATATCGAAATCGCAGTTTGAGAGAGCGCAATTTTCAAATCGCAAGATCTGATTTTTTTTAATTATAGGCTACATTATCAAAAACGTTGTCTTAAGTTTTAAGAGGGGAAATTTAACCTAATAACACAGAGTTGTATACTCCCTGTAGATTTAGACCACTGAGAGGCAACCAAACCTCCATGTGTTGTAGCATCACAGCCACGATTTACTGGCTTTCTGGCGCTACATTAAGAGGTCGTGTCAACCCAGAAAAAGTGGATATTCTGGTCTTCTTGGTTAAAACAGGTCTGAACCTCAATTTATATATATATATATATATATATATATATAAAATTTGCAATTTAAATCGCAGTCACAATATTACTCAGAAAAATCACAAAGAAATTTTCCTTAAATCATTCAGCCCTAGCAAATTGGCATGGTGATCTACAAGACTTCACAAGGGCCCACAAGAAATGAACTGGAGCGGCTCTCGACAAGTGGAGAACTTGGCACAGTCAGAAACAGTAGCTGTGGTGTGACATTATAAGAGTTATTCAAATTATTCTGCACTGTGATTGGAGACCTTCTCCCAGGATCAAATCCAGGGAGGCTAGAACCCTCTGTTTAGGCACTGTGTATAAATATACTCATAATCAAAACTCAAAACATCCTAATGATAAACAAAATTAAATATTTAATATCTCTTTACTCTTTATAACTTTCTCTGTCAACAATGATGTTCTTTTTATATCACTACAAGATTTTAGAAAAGTCAATAGTAGTTTGAGGATAGTTTGTTTTTCTCGCAAATATGATGGTACTCTTTCTCTTTGCTTTAGAAACATAAAATTAATAAACACACTATATAATTGTATTTCAGGTATTTTATTCTAAAAAAACATACATTTATTTTAACATGGCACCTACAAAAAGAATTTGTTAATACTACCACTATTCAGGCCTAATAACTTAAAAAAGCAAAAAGTAAACTACATAAAACCCCAAAATAATGTAAAAAGACTTAAAGTTTAGACAGTATAATTCCAAGGCACTCTTCATCAAGTATCAGCTGAATTTACTATGACAGATAGACCATAATGTAACAGTGATAGACATTTACATCCATTTATGGGATTCTCTGTCAAGTGTAACAAGAGCACTAAAGGTCTACTTTAGTCAGTTGAATACAGTGCTTATAGACAAAGATTGGGGCAAATAAGGGCTGTAATATTTGTAACATTTTAATATGGTCTCTGGAACAATAAAGAAACTGGCTTACTTGTTACACCAGTGTAAAAGTAAACCTGCCCTTTGGTGTATGCAATCTACACAGAGTAATGAACTGTAACACGTTTAATACAGATGCCTTAATTATGTCTGTCATCATTTAGGGCACTTGGTGTTGCAAGGATCCCCTGATTTGAATAGTCCGTAAATACTAACGAGAGGAAACATTAACAGGGCACCTAGCATGGAGCCAAGCTGTACTACAGCACCACACCACACGAGGGCGCTGTGTCCTTCATCTCTCAGGATCACACCAATGATCACCTTCACATAGGACAGAGTGAGGACAAACACCACCCACGTTATGACCTATTTAAGCATCAGAGAGAGAGCGAGAGAGAGAGAGAGAGTCAGTTAATAAAATATACAGTAATGTCATTAACTATTAACTTACATCAAAGTGTAAACATCTGTTAAATACTTCATGAAGGCCTAACAGCCACTTTACAGACACCTAAATATCATAATCATTTGTTATAGTTTATAGTTAGCATATAGTTAGTCAGTGAAGCCACATAATTGTCGTAGTGCACCAGCGTCCGATAATATCATGATCATTAATTGGGTCGGTAAACAGGTACGTCTTACCACAAGTGCAGCTCCCATATCATGATGTACCAATAGAGGGCAAGGACTCAGTGCTGCCATGGCCATGATGTAGGCCCCAAATCCTGTCCCAGTCACTGTAAGAACCACCATCAGAACCAAGGACCTTGAAAGGAAAGACAGCTAAGTCAGCTATGTCTTCATTAGATGATCTTGCAACCAAAATCTACCAAGGTCTTGCAGCCTTTTATCTAATCAAATTTAGTCATTAAATCTTACCTGTTTGGCACAAACATGGCAATGAAGCAAGCCACAGGGTTGGCCATTGCAGCCATGGTAGTTGCCAGGTGATAGGCCTGATTTCCATAAGGGAGGCAGGAGTAGGACTGTACTGAAGGGAGGACCGCATTGGTTAGTGCATTGACCCAGGCCAGAACCACAAAGATGAAGACCAGCTGTGCCCTGCTGTAGGTGCCTTTGCCAAAACTGCTGCGGGGTGCTTTCACCTGACCCTCTGAGGCATCCAGCATGGGTTTCTGCTCTGGAGCAGAGTTCTGCAAAGAGAGGCTAACGTCAGCCTTCTCTCTGTGCGTGGCATCATCAAGGTAGCGCTCACGTTTGTGTTCCTTGGCCACAGCAGGGAGGTGGTTGAGCATCAGGAAAGCACCCAGGCACACTATCATCATGACACTGAGGAACAGGAAGAAGACCTGAGCAGAGAAGTTGGCTTGCTGATAATGTGCCTCCAGTTCACCAGTGGACCCCCAGGTGGAGTTCTCCATGCTAACATTTGCATTAGCTGTAGCGTTCTTGCATTGGACCATCCCTACTCCCTGAATAAGAGCCACTAGTGCTGGAATCAGGCCACTCAGACCCTCCCCAACAAAATAACTGGTGAGGTACTGAGGCTGGAGCCTCATCATAAAGGGGAGGAAGGTGACAGAAGATGTGCAGTCCACCACTGATAGAAGGAAACTGAGAGACAGCAGGGCCACACTGTGTACAGCACCCCCCACAACTAGTGTGTGCTTCCAGAGGAAGGCAAGGAGGAAGGTGGCCACAACACCCATTACTACGATAGTGTAAATAACAGGCCGCTCATCCAGAGCTCTTGGCTTGAAGCAGTGCATGAGTGTGATGAAGAGTGGGCCGATGTTGGCCAATTGGATGATGACAGTGAGGTAGGAGGGCAGGTACCAGCGCTCAGGAATCTCATGTACAACCAGTGGGAGCTCCACCCACATCCCATTGATGGCAATCCATGAACCAATGCCAAAGAGGCAGGCTAGCACATGTGTCAACAACGCCATGATGAAGAAGATTAATTCAGCTTTTGATTATCCAGCATGTGGTGCAGAAGGTAATCTGAAACATGAACACAGCAGTTTTCAAATGATCAACTTTATGTGTCTGCAACGATTACATCTATAGCTTTCATAAGATTTGGCTGACTGTAATTATGTGTCTGGGAACAGTCTCAGGAGTCACCCATAAACACGGAACAAGGGAACAAACTTGACCTTATTATTGAAGTGATACATGACTTTCAAATAAAAATTAGACACAAAAACACTTTATTTACATGAAGTCATAACATCCAAGGGAAAGGACAGCAAGCTACTACTGCTACTACAAGTAAATAATAATAATAATAATAATAATAATAATAATAATAATAAATAGTCATGATTATTTTATAACTATGTATTGTGTAACTAAATGATCAGAATTAACATTTAAGGTGGTTTTAAAACTAGTAAAAAACTAGTGTTTTGGAAAACTACTGTTTGCTTCTCAGCCTAAATAGATCCATCATCACATTCAATTCTAAGATAACCTGCTATGTAAACAGGACATAAAGCTTGTATGTTCGGAATAACTACACAATTTAAACTTAAAAAACTGTATTTTTAAGATTATCTTATTAAAAGTTCGGGTCAAGCCAAGGTTATGTGACCTTTGCCTCACAAACGTATTTCTCTAAAACTGACCATCCATACTAGTAATCCATACTATAATTTCGTCATTAGCCTTCTGCACTGACGGTTAAGGAAATGAGAGCCATTTCAAATGAGTGTGCATGTACACTTTCTCCTCTTTCTTTTCTCCACACATTATTTACTTCCTCCATGCTATCCGATAATGTAAATGGTCATTCACTAAGTGCAGTCTATCTTTAAGTGTCCTTAGAAGCTCTTTCAGGTTTAGGGAATACAACACACCCTCATCACACACACACACACACACACACACACACACACAGCCCACCTCGTGCTTCCGCTGCCGACTCCATACATTCTGAACAGTGCGTGTCTACCACAACGGGCTTGTGTGCTTTTTCTCCTCCCACACAGTTCAGAGCGCTCTTTCTTATGGCAAGCAAAGAGGATCAGAATTCACCTTAAACCAAACGCGTTTTATTTGTATTACAACGTAAAAAACCGGCGTTTTGGACGTTTCTGCATCTACAGTTACTTTTACTCTCCCAGATTAAAAAGAGGCATCATCTATTAATTTAGGTTTTAATCTGGAACATGTTTATTTTTTATGGTTTTCATCATTTCTTCCTACAAAACGTTCTTACTGCAACATTACAATAACGTTCATTTACATTTACCTTTTTAGTTTCTGTAAAATTTTTAATACATTTAAGTTCACCTTCACTGACGAATATCTCAGACCAGACCAATCCACCACAGATCTTCTAGGTTAAAGTGTTTAATTTATTTTTGGAAGTCACCAATTCGTGCTTGTGCTGTTAATGGAATAATATTTGACTCTAATGCTGCTCTCATGGACCACTGAGTGTGCTGATGAAGTAAGAACACATTTTTGTCTGAACAGAGGGGATGACAACTTATTTTCTTAACTAGAACTAGGCTGGTCAGCTAGCTAACTAACTAAGATAGCAAACAGCATAAACAATCCATCATCAGTATCACAGTCTTGAAAAGTAGGTGATTCACTGTAAAACTGCAAAACAAAAGACTAAAGAATGTCACCTGGCAGTG